CGTCGGAACCGCCGTCGGAGAGCCTGCAGGCGCCGGATCTGGACCACCAACAACAACCTAAGGGCCGACGAGCAGCCGGGTGTCGTCCTCACCGTCGATGACGACGGTGCCGCCGACGCCGCGAAGCGAGGGCGAGATCCTCTAGTCGGCCAACATCAAGAGCTTGCGGGCCTCCTCGCCGCCCCTGCCTCGTCGCGGGCTCGGCACACCGCAGCTCTTCTTGGCCATTTCTCCCTGGCTTGACTGGTTACGACGCGGAAGAAGGCCGAGGCCGCGCTCGCCGAGGAGGACGCCGTGCGGGCGGAGGCCCTCTTCACCGAGGTCCGTGCGTGCTTGCTCTGGTTCCTCTCTCCCCAAAACGCCATGGACAAAACTGCAACTCTCTGCTTGCTATTCTGATTTAAAAATGACTATGACTTGTTTGTGTTGCAGAGCATCGCTATGGACTGAATCATTCTTTTCAGCCGGCGGCCAATCTTTACATACGTTTGGCCGCCAAGTACTCCATCTTGTACTGACAGAGAATGTGTTGTAAAGGTGGGCTGCATCTGGCCTATGGAGGCAGGTCTACTCCCCCTTGCTGAATTTTCCTGGAGAACTAGCTAGCCTCTTAGTTCTGACAGTTTAAATGGATTTACTCTGATGAGTGATGGTTTGGTCGCAATTGTGCAGGTGTAAGGCTAGAATAGCGATTGGGGATACTACTGGCGCCCTCGCAGATGTCGAGCAAGCGATAAGGATAGCTCCCAAATTTCCTCAGGTAAATGAACTCCATGTCTTGTTCATAATATTAAATCCTTAGCTAGCTGTGGCGTATTGTTGTGAATTGGATGGTTTAGTGTGGCCAATTTCTGTCACAAACCTGTGCAAATAAGCTTTGCGTTAACTGAAGAAAGCCAGGATGGGTACCTAGTGCAGTGAAGTGAACTGAAAAAAACCATTTAGTATGCTTGATCATGAGTGATGAGTCCATGACTGGTTAGGGGTTCAAGGTTGCAGCTCGTTGTAGAGACAGACATAAACTGATCTATGTAGAACAGACACCAGATGTTGTTAGATTTTCAAGATGGATTGCATCATCAGTTGTAGAGACAAACATCAACTTCTAGACCTGTAGAGACAGACATTACAGCTCGTATATGCCACACTAAACTTCTAGATATATGCTTGACCAAAAGGACTCACCAGTATATGCCACACTAAACTCCATCAGTATACTCCATGTGTACAGTGTACTACAGGTTTAGCATACAAAAACAAAACTGCATTCCAACAGACTTCAGTGGGTTTCTTTCTACCTAGCTTAATTAACCTTTCAGTTACTCCTCTTCACTATACCCACCAGGTAATTAATCAGTAGACTACAGTTGCTGAGAAATTAAACTACCCAAGGCTGTATATGTTTAGATCATGAAGGAGAGATGTATAAGGCTGTACTTATATACTGATAGCTAATTAAGAAGCTGGGGAATATATACTGATAGCTAATTATCTAGGACCTTGAGATGGATTAATCCAGTGCTACTCTTCTCATTATCTAATCTATCCATGCTATGGTTGCATATTTATTTACTGCACCAAAGATGGTTTTTCTTATTTTAGCTGATCCATCCCATGTGATATGCTAGATTTTAGCATCTGTATTGATGAAACTTTGATGAAACTAAAGAAAAACTGAAAGTGTCCTTGATAGCATGAAATGGACCTCTTAACTAAATAGAAGCGATTTCTTGTCATCCACTGTCCTTTTATTTGTTCCATGCTGATAGCTTTGCTGATTTAACATTAATTAACAAAACCAAATTCAGTACTGCTCCAGCTTACTCAAAACTTTAGAACATGTTCAGTCTTCAGTTAACTCCATACAATAGACTCTTGCTTTTTTACTAAAGCTAGTTTGCAATTGCAGTAGAAGATAATCTCATACCATATCATCTATTGATGATATGGGATTAGCAAAGGCCTTGCTTGCCTCATTAGTTGCTGTAGTTGTCAAGCAAAAATTTCAGTCCACTAACCCAAATTAATTCAAATAACTAAAATTAATCCAAATCAATTCAAATAATTCAAATAAATCCAAATAACCCAAATTAATTCAAATAACCCAGATAATTCAATTAATCCAAATAACCCAGATAATTCCAATAAATTCCAACAAGGAGTTGATATACAAGGATTAGACAAGGCATACACAAGGACATGACATAAGGGCCTCTTTGTCCCCTCTTGACACAAGATTACACAAGACATACACAAGGAGCACCTAACTACATGACATAAGGGCCTCTTTGTCCCCTCTTGACTACATTCTTTTCCTTTCTCTGGTCACTTCTTCCCTTCCCTTCCCTTTATTTTTCTTTCTTTTCCCTTCTCTAGCTAATTCTTTCCTTTCATTTTCTTTTCCTATTGCAATTTCCATTTCTTCTATAACGGCCCTAGTATCAACAATTACCCGACTGTCGCAATATACACCAGTTATTTCCATTCCAGCATTCTGAACGCGATCCTTGTGCAAGTTGGGCAACTTATATTAATTTCCTCCTTTGTCTTTCATAACTTCAAACATAACTGCTTCTAATGTGATAAAGCTTCTATGCAACTTGTCGGGATCGTAGTTCTCGAATTCCTCTTCCACACCTTGTACCAGTTCCTAGATGTTTGTAGGTGACCTGCAGTCGGTTAGAGACTGGAGAGAGTTATGGAAGCAGAGGTCCAAACAATTTAACTCGGGGCTATTTGGGGGCTGTTGTAGCAATCGGATGTCAAGATCAGTTTGTTCCACAGCTTCTCGAAAAGCTACATCATTGGGCAGGACATGAGGCTTTGCGTTATCCTGTTGGATGAATATTGTTGCTCCCTCATCATCGCCAGGACACTTATCCTGAATTGCCGGGATAACCTTATTGATTAGATAATCTCTGCACACAGGCCTGGTTACTTTCACTGATGTCAACACTTTTGTTCCCTTTGTTCTGTTCTGATTTGTCCGCTTCGCCTCAGTCTCTTCGACAAATGCCCAAATGCCGATCTTCCCATCGAATGTTAGCTCCCCCTCATTGTTATATCGAGGCTTGGCAACAGCTGTTAGGAACATCACCTTCCCAATGCTGTGAGTGTTTGACACGGTGCGCTTTGGTTCAGGTTCTCCTGGAAGTACATAGTAACTATTCTTCACTCTCGTCATGTCAAACCACTTCTCATCGATGTGAACCATATTCGTCATTGGTTTTAACATAGCCCGAGAAGTTGAGATCGAATTGTCATCGACCATGGACATACAAAATTTCAATCTCGCAAGCTTGTTCTCTAGCTTGAGGTAAGGCTTCACGGTGCTTGTGATGCAGTTGAGCTCATTCAACTGGAACCTCTTATGCAGGGTCGATCGGGCCACACCTAGAGACCGTGCCAGAGATCGAATTGTTCTTCTTTTATTCAATGGGATTGTTGAGGTCCTCTCTAGATCTAGCTCCTTTCTCTTCCGGCCGGATCTTCCTGGCTTCTTGCTTGAGACATCTACTTCTTTGCCATCGGCAATTTGCTTTTTAGCCTCTTCCCAGATTCTTTCAACAGATCGTACACTTATGTCCAACAGGTTTGAGACTAGCAGCTTGTCGTCTGGTTGAACAGACCCATCTCTGAGCTCGATTACCAGCAAGGCAAAGTAAACACCATGCCTCTCCTTATCTGACAATTCTCTTCTCTTCTCTTGAAGTATCCAATTCATAACTTCATCCTCTTCCTCTTGAGATTCATCCTCTTTCGCTTCATCTTCTTGAGGCATCCAATTCATATCTTTATCGTCTTCCTCTTGAGGCATCAAGTTCAAATCCATAACTACATTCTCTACCACTTTAGGTTCCTCCTCTTGAGGCATCAAATTCAAATTAATACCTTCATCGTCTTCCTCTTGAGGCATCATGTTCAAATCCATACTCCTGCTAGCAATGACAAAAAATGAGTACATCATGGTACCATAACAAGGATATACACAAAAAAATGAGTAGAATGACAGGAGCCTTGCAACCATTACAAAAAAAGGCTTCACATTCTCTGAACTGTGATGTGCTCTGCTAAAGTGCTAATGCCACTAAATCATCTTGTTCTGCCTGGCTTAACAAGATCCACATTCTCATTTCAAAAAAAGGCTTCACAATTTCACAGCTACTCCTAATACATTCTTCTGATGCCAATCAATGCACAATGCACAGAAAAATCCTCATGATATTCCTCCCACAAGGTAGAGTGGGAAGGGAATAATAACTAGAGAGTGATAGCAGCCAGTCTTTTGTGACTGGAATATATTCATAACAGAATAAATTCAACTGGCCCATGTTTTTCCCCTTCATTCACCACCAATTTTACTCTACTTATAGTAGTTCCTCTAGTAACAGTTCTAGAGACAGTGTTTGTTCAGATCATAATTGCTCTGCATCTACTGATTTTTTCTGTGCCATGTCAAGCATAGATAGGTTCAATTAATTTGCTTGGATTATCAAAATTACTGTCAGTACTACTGTATGCTTTGACACTGTCGAAACGGATTTAGTGTGAATATGTGTCTTATGTAATGATTTTCTACCAACAAGCTTGAGACCACATTTTGTACACACCTACTGTTAACTATTTTATTCAGTGTTTCTCTGAAGAAATATGAACATTATTTTCATTTAACTTGTACTTGCAGCACAAGCATGGCCATCCACCAACATGCAAAACAAGTTCAAGACCAAAAATATGTGTTTCTTGCTGTTTACTCAACTGAACCAGATTTGGGTTTTCAAGTTCCAAGGTTTCTGCTAACCACATGTTCTCGTTTAGATTCGTAATCAAAATGGGATATGTTGTCGTTGGTTGCCGTGTACTCTGTGCAGCAATCAGCATGTGTTTTGTTGGAGTTTGTAACAGGGAAAGACAAATACATTTAGACTGATTGACTTCTTCATGCCTGCAGTTTGTGACATACTTCTGCTGTTGATTGATTGCTCTGAAGTCTGAACTTCATGGAGACCGTTTCAACAAATGAGGACACCGGCAAGGGGGCGATGTGGGAGCTGGAAAAGAGCCTTGATCAGCCCATGGACACAGAGGCCGGGAGACCGAGGAATATGTACAGAGAAAAGGTGATTGCTATCATCATCCAAGTATTTGTCAGTTTCTGTATCTGAATCTTAGCTAATAGGATACAGAATTAATGTCCTGTGTTAACAACACGGCTTTAGCATTGATGATCACAATTTTGTGTTTCGTAGCACATTCTTTTCAGCAGTACATTATCCCTGGTAGTTGTCTTTATGCAAGGATTTTGAGATGTTGCCTAAGATGCAGAGTCATTTGGTGTCTTTACTCTGAACTTCTGAAGAAGAAAGAACAACCACAGTATGATAAGTAATTTTGCTTTTGCCCTGTTTTCTCCTCTTGTATGTGCAGACCTACCCAACAGTTTTGATGCTACAACTAGCTTTCCAATGCCTTGGTGTGGTGTTTGGAGATTTAGGCACATCACCTCTCTATGTTTTCTACAACATCTTTCCTGAGAAGATAGAAGACACAGAGCAAATTATTTCTAGCTTGCTCCCTCCACCTCCCTAATATCTACTAATTTTTATTCAATTAACACTAAGGGAAACGCTTGTATCCGGCGCGCCGGCCGAAACTTCAGCCGGTCGCACGCGGAGCATACGATACAATGCGATCGAAATGTTTTCCTGGCCCCCCACGTCGCACGCACTATGCAGCCTTATCCCTTCACAAGCAGTCCCCTCCACTGCTTTTTCTTCCTCCTCTATCACTACAGCCGCCGCTCTTTTCTTCTACATCATCTCTGCAGGCCCCCTCTCCCTCCTGCTGCAGCCACTTCCGGCTATGCACTTGATGAGTGTGCTGCGACGAGGCTCCTCTCGAGCAGACGCCCAACACTAGGAGCTGGCACCGCACGTTTGTAGGTGCCGCAAGCACAGGCTGCCGGGCTGGAACAACGACGACACTATGTCGCGAACTGACCACGCCGGCGAGCTGAAAAACGGAGCACATGACCTGGGGTGCTTCAACCATAGATCCGGTATGTTGGAACCTGCCGACGGAGGAGCTGCAACGGCCACGCCAAGAGCTGGAACCAGTGCTTGCCCTGCTGGAATCGACACACGCGTCGTGCTGGAACCGTGTTCTGGCGATGCTGGAACCATGTTTAGGCAGCGCTGGAAGGGAGGCTGGCGATGCTTCAGAGCTCCAGGCCGGCGGGCGAAATGGTGGAACCAGCAGACAAAAATGCTGGAACCAGCAACTCCCAAAGCTGCATCAGAAGCAATGGTGTGCTATGCCCGGCGATGATTGTTTTGCTGGAACCGGCTACGAGCGGAGCTGCAACCATGCGATGCGTATGCTGGAACCGTTATTGATGAAAGCTAGAACCGGTGTGTGTTTTTGCTTCAACCGATGAAGTGGTGCGAAGACGACGACGGGTGCCGCCGTCGCGGGCTGCAATCTGCGGTAGCAAAAGCTATAGCCGACACTTTTTTTGTTGCGATGGTTATACACGCGAAACAGAGACCCAGGGGGGCGAGTGTTGATGGCAAGGGCGGCGACGAGACGACAGTGGACGATGCCCTTGTGCGTCGAATGCTCATGGCGGGGCGACGCAACCCCGGTGCTGCAACCATGGGGTGGTGAGCTACAATCACGGGCGGGGCGGCGCAACCCGGAGCAGCGATGGGTCCATGGCCAGGAGCTGCAAGAGAGGCGGCCATGGCGAGGAAGGGAACAACAACCGGGGGGGAGGGCGTCCATGGCTCGGAGAGTGGTGGCCGGCGGCGCTCGCTTGCGGTGCGTGGTTTGTGTGTGTGAGATAAGAACGATGTAGAGGAAGGGGATGAACAGAAGATTCGATCTGAACGGCTGGAAGCCAGCCCATCGGACGCTCGCGGTGCGACCGGCCGAAACTTTCTGCCGGCGCACCGGCGCCTAGTACCGCCCACTAACTAACACTAATCATATTCAGTTAACAGGAGCAGAGCAGTTCTTCCTGACGAACAGGAGCAGAGCAGCAACTCCCGTACACTAATCATATTCAGCACAGGGAGCAGAGGAGCAACTCCTTACGGTACCTTCTTCCTCTTGACGAGAAGGAGCTCTGGCGGCAGCACGGGCAGACGAGCAGCAGCAGCACCGGCGGTAGGGGAGAAGCAGCCGCACGGGCTCGCGCGAAAGATTGAGGAGGGCGTGCGGGCAGGGGAGAAGGAGGACGCGCGCGAGCTCCTGGTCCACCGGATCGTGGAGGCAATTTCCGGCGACGCCCGTAGGGGATCGCGGCCGGGAGGAATTGCAGCGGCGCACTCGCAGGAGCTCGACGAGGATGCACTAGAGCTTGAGGAGGATGCGCTGGAGCTTGAGGAGGATGTGCGGGAGCTCGAGGTGGACGCCCGCGAGCTCGAGGAGGACGTGGCCGGAGGTCCCGACGATGCCCGTAGGTAATCGAGGCGGGAGGGGATCGCGGCGACGCCGGTCTGAGCGGGGGAAGCGGCGGAGCAGGTACTTGGCGACGGCGGCGACGGAGCAGGTAGGTGGCGACGGCGGCGGAGCACTTCCTGATGGGCGGCGAGTCGCGCAGCTGGGCGGCCCCGGCCCCTATCGACGGCGAAGGAAGAAGACAGGGGGCGGAGGGGCTTGTTTCAGACGATTTTAAAACTACAAGGGCCTTTTTGCAAAATCAACAATGAACTGCGCCCACGACATGTTTTTTGGGACGGAGGGAGTATTAAGTAGGGGAGACTTTTTGTGTAAGAGATAAGAGGACGCCATGCATTTTAGTCTGTACCCCCTGTGGCGAACTCTTTCAAACTAGCTTATTCTACACTCCTAGTAAAAAACACACAAAATATAGTAATATAATATACAAAAATCTAATTTGTAAGAGAATGTAGTAAATTAGCAACTTGGATAGTAAATAAAAATACTTTGGTATATCTATATTTTAAATATATTGTTTTACTAGATTTTTGTACGTAGTGTTACTAGGGGTGTAGAATAAGCATTTTATACTCAACCATAGAATAGCGCTACTGATGAACCTCCCACGGTGCGCTTTTCAAAACTAGCTTATTTTGCAACCCTAGTGAAAAATTACACAGAATATAGTAACATACTATACAAAATATAGTAATTTTAAAAAGAAAGTTGTAAATTAACAACTTGGATAGTAAAAATTTATACCGTAATTACTTTATTTTGCACACAGTTTTACCAATTCTCTATATACTGTTATTAGAGTTGTATAATACTTATTTTATACTCACGCATAGAATAGCGCTACCGATGGACCTCCCATGACAGAATAGCTCTCCAAAACTAGCTTATTATACACCCTAGTTACATAAAATATAGTAACATAACATACATAATATAGTAAATTAGCAAGTTGGATAGTAAAAGAATCATTTCAAAATTACTAAATTGTGTATACTGTTTTACTAGATTATGTATATAATGTTAATAGCGTTGTAGAATATAGCCCATCCTCAACTCGGAAAAAAGCAATGGATCGTCATTGTCTCCCCACACCGCCAGGGGTCTCAACGTGCTTTCAAAGACGGCGGTCGCCGGATTGTCCAAGCCACACGTCCCTGCGCCCATCCAAAACCTCGACATTCCTACCACATGGACCAGACAGACGAGCAGCGCCAGCTCGACTTGGCACTGCAGCACTCCGCTGTCGACGAGGAGCGCCGACGCAGATACGCCCCCACTGATGCAATATGCGCCAGGAGCTGCACCAGAGACGATGGTGATGTAGTTAAGTGATGTCACCTGTGTCAGAGAAAAGTCATGTGCATGTACGTTGTCGTTTCTCAGCGACTTGTTTATTCAAATGGCGACATCATAAGTCTTCAACACAGTAGAGCATTTTTCCTCCGATGAGTTTTGACTTGTGGTTCATCTTGGTCATACATGTGGAAGCTAGATGGCATTTTGCTGGGCAGAAAATATTGCATGTTTGGCCCACCATCACGCTTTCCCTTATTTGTCACGTGCTTTCCCTTATTTGGAATATGTATGTGGAATCTTATGAACTTATACATTCATTTCTGTTTGAATGGTCATAATTTAGGAGCTATACTGTTGAAAAAAGGAAGACAGATAATGGTCACCCTCTAGAGAATTCTGCAGTGTATATAAAGTCACTCTAAAAACTATTCACTTAATTTGGGAAATCTTGTATAGAGCTTTATCACTGTGGCCAAGTAAGGAACTATAATCGCCACTGAGGCTGAGATGAGAGAAACCAAAAAGAGGGTGGCTCCGCTTAGGCTTAACTCCATGATGATGGTTTGCTTGCTTGGTAATAAGAACATCAAGATAACTATCCTTTTATAAGCCTTGGGATGTCATCGTTTGCATTGGATCCTCTTCCGGCCTCTATAACACCTCCCAAGCATGTGTCCGGTCCAATCTTCCATAGACTATAAAAGTTGCAGCTCGGAAGCTGCACTTTCGAAGAAACATAGCTAACACTCAAAAATGGAAAGTAAAAATCAAATGATAAGTGCCACATGTGTGGCACAAAGCACTCCGGCTCTGACTTTTTTACAACTAAAGTTGTCTTCCGAAAAGAAAAAAAACCAGAAAAACTGAAACTTGCCTTCCAAAAAAATAGTTGCAATGCTTGGCAACTAAAATTGCCATCCTCGCGTCACTAAACTTACCATAAAAAACATTCGGCTGCTAGGTTCTCGAGGCCGGAGCCGCCCGGCAGAGGACACCGACACCCATGGACACCGGAGAGACGCGTCTCCAAGTTCACCGAGGCCAGAGCAGCGCCAACAAGTACCCTCCTTGAGGGGCTTCGTGACTGCCTCTAGCAGTCTAGCTTCGTCACGTCCGCGCGTGAGTCATCACCGCGGCTCTGGAGAGAGAGGGCCGCCGGATACGAGGGGGCCTCCCGCGGGAAGGCAGACTACGAACACCCCCGAGGCCGGCTGCGGATCCCGCACCCAAATCAGGTCTTGTCGCACCAGCAAGCCAAGGCCTCATCGTGGAAGATGGAGGGAAGGTCTGATGGGGAGGGTGTCAGGCACGGACGTGCAGCAGCGCTAGGAGGAGTGGCGCCCGTGCCAAAGCCAGGGTGGGGCGGGGACGCGGGGCCGGGGATGGGGGCGACGCGCGGGGGACGGATCCGGCCGGCGGCAGCATCCTGGGGCGTCGCAGGGCCTCGCCGGTCAGCCCACCGGCGACAGCGCGGCAGATGCGGGCGGGGGGTGGCACGTCCCGGCGGCGGCTGGTGGATCCGCGGGGCGGGGAGGGGGAAGCGCGTGGGGGACGGATCTGCCCCGTCGTCGCCATCTCGGGACACGGGAAGGCTTCGCCGGCCGGCCCTCCGACGGCGGCGTAGCGGTGGTGGGCGCAGGGGGGTTCCTAGCGCGGTGGATGTGGTTCCCCCCGTGTCGCCAGAGGAGGGCGACGCGGGGGTATGTTCAGTAATCCCTTAACAACTTGGATGATAAAAAGTTATTTCGTAATTACTACATTTTGCAAACTGTTTTACTAGATTATGTATATAATGTTGTTAGGGGTGTAGAATAATTATTCTGTACTCACGCATACAATAATGCTACCTATGGACCTCCAGTGAAGTGCTCTTGAAAACTAGCTTATTCTAAACCCCTATAGTTACATAAAGTATAGTAACATAATATATAAAGGACTGTGCTAACGATCAGTCGACTGGTCGTTAGCGACAGATCCACGCGACTAGTTCCTACGTGATTGTTATCATCCCATGCTCGGTTCCATTGATTTTTTTCCTTCTCTTAAAAATCGTAGATGGAAATAATAAATCGATAGTGTTTTTTTTTTGTTTTTCATTGCATAATATGAGAAGAAAATCAAAGTGCTTGAAAGAGGATTCGAACCCAGGTCAATGCAATAGCTATTGAGCCGAATAGCCAACCTAGCCACCTTTAGTTGTTGTCTTTTTTAGATAAACAACGTTATTTGAACCTTTGTTATTTTTGCCATATCAGAAAAATAATAAACTTTGGCTTGGTAACTTTGGCATGACTAGCGTGATAACTATGGTATGAGCAACATGATAACTATATCATGATAGGGCTCGTAGCTAAAGTACGAGAAGGTTACAACATGATAACTTTAGCATGGGGATGTATGATAATTTAACACAGAAATTACCGGTGAATGTTTCAAAAACTTTTCCCTTGGATGAAAGATACCATGATGTTTAAACGTAAGATAGCAGGTCTGTCATGCATGAAATTTTCATAAACTTACATGGAAGTTATCGGAGGAGTTATGTTTCAACGTTTTTTCCTCGAAGTCAAAAGTTAACATGGTGGTTGAACGTAAGTTATAATGTCTTCGATAACATGGTGGTTGAACGTAAGTTATGAGGTCCGCGGTGCATAAATATCATGTCAAAGTACCATGGTCCTAGAAAGTTACCATGGGATGTACATAAGTTATCATGTCTTTGATATGTAAAATATCATGTCATTTCCACAGAAGTTACCGTGATATGTTTCAACAACTCCCCACCCCCACCTCGGTCGCCAAAGTTTCTTGGACCGGGGTACATACGTTATCAAGTCTGTGGTGTGCGGGTTACCATGCTATTCACACAAAAGTTACCG